AATTTGCAGGGTTCAAATGATTGATAAGCAAACACTTCTCAAACCGCAAAGAGTAAAGTAACTACTGTTTACTCCTTTGTGTGTATCAGAAAACTTATTGTAGGAAGTATAATAGAGATTTTATTTCAATTGTTTAATATATTACCTACTGGTATCATCACTTTTTAAATCATTTTTTTAACTTAGAAGTCGATTTATTTGAATGTCAATATCATTTGATTGATTATACTGAAATAAATAATAATTTTAATTATATTGTTTACTTTGCGCTTGATTGACGATCCATATTTTTTATATTATTTTATATTTACTTTGAATATTTTATGTCATGGTTACATGGCATAAATTGATTTTGTGTGTTTGCATAAAATATATATATCAATGATATATCGTCAATATTGATATATTGATAATGTAACGTTAATAAATCTTTTTTCAAATATACCACGTGGTATTAAGTTGTCAACTTATTATTTTAGTTTAATGTATTATGAGTTATCTTCTCTTTTGTTCGTTTTAATCTCATGAGTAAGCCAATTAGAATGTTAAAATCTTTTTTTTTTATAAATCAATGCTTATAGAAGTAAATATTTAAATATAGAGAGTATCATGGAAACCTTTCACATCGTCTTTACAGAAGAAATGAAAATTTCAAGTGGATATCTTCCAATTTGGACATTTGTCAAATAATTCTATAAATTTTTTCTGTGCGGTTGCACTCGAAAAACACAAAGGTGTTCTTCTATTTTACAAAGAACTGAAAAATCAGTGGGAATTTTATTCTTCAATTTTAGAAAAATTGTGTTTTTTTCTTCTTTCTTTAAAAATTAAAAAACACCTTTTCTGTTTTAGGGTAATATCATATATGCTTAGAAGTCCTATTAGGATTTTTTGCCTCTTTTTCATACTGGTGTCAAAATTAAAAATATTCGTTGAAAAATAAGTTTTTGATTTATTATACTTCCAACAATAAGTTTTCTGATACACACAAAGGAGTAAACAGTAGTTACTTTACTCTTTGCGGTTTGAGAAGTGTTTGCTTATCAATCATTTGAAACCTGCAAATTTCTGGATTTTAATAAAAAATTTAATATTTATGTATAAATTTTCGATATATTCTCACCACAATATTTTGTTCGTGTGGTGAGCTTCTTGTTTATTGCTTTATTGTCTCATTTTTTTTTCTAATTCAAACCGCAAAAAGAAAAGCATTTGGTCAGGGAGTTTGTGTACAGCGACGTTTTCCGTTCTTCTTTCTTTTTTCTTTTCAATAAAAACAATTTCGAGTTTTTTTACTGTCATCGATTGTTGTTTCGCGTTTTTCTCTGTTATTCTTTCTTTTTCTCTCTTACGTCTGCAATAGTTGTATGAATAGATCCCCTTGAAAGTTAGAAAGTTGAAATAACAACCAAGCTTCTGTTTATACCGCAACCATGATTAAATATAATTAAAAGTAAATTTAAACTGATTTTATAGTGAACAGATCAATAGAGAATATCTTCTATTTTCATAAGTAAGGTAATATCTAATAATAATAGTAATAATAATACGTACTCACTAATCTGTATATATGGTTCACTGTTTCCGAAACATGACTTCTTTTATTTGTGACTAACAGTTGATTATTCAGTTTTTCTTAGCTATTATAAGGTCAAGTTTTCATTACTGAACTATCAATAGCAAAGTTGAATTTGTAACCGATAGATTAACGTACGACAAGATAAAGTTAAGCGTGATAATATTGTCTTTAAATTACACTTGTCGTTTATATAGTAGTGAATTTAGTAACGAAAAATCAGTTAAATATAAGCGATAAATTACGAATAAAGTAAATTGTAATGAATAGAAAGAAAAGACTTTAGTATTTAGTAGGTGTTACTAAGAGAACCTTTTTGTCTTTAAAGGTCAAACAATTATAACAACATGTGGTAGTAGTTCTTATTATACTTGTCATGAATCGACAAGCAGTACTTATTCTTCATAGATATTTAAATATCGGTAATGTTTTTATCAAATTTGGCTGATTACGATTGATAATATGTATAGTTCACAAATGAAGAAACATTTAATTTATTGACAGAAATTGTTAATGTTATTCGCGTTTCTATATTCATATGAATTTGTTAAAGAATAGGAACGTTCATAAGACTAACTTATTCTAAATATATGAACTTTCTGATGTAGACTAGATAGTTCATTGCCGATGTTAAGAAACAAGACTAGTTAAAAAATGTTTCTTTTTAAGATTTTTTTAGTTAGAAAATTGATAAAGCCACCAGTATTTTATAGTGCAAAGACAGGCGTCATCAATCAAGACAGAACAGGAGAAAAAGGTACAACATTCTAGTCTTGACAAAGATATCTCTTTAATGTTTTAGAAACAAAAGGATAGATCTAAAGTAAACTGTCTTGCTGAAGAGGTTAGCTGGTAAAGATTACTTTTTTCGCGGTTATGTATGAGTATAACCACTATTTACATAATGACATTTCTCACACTGTTTTCGTTTCTATCTATTTCAGTACTACTAACGTCTAACTTTAAACCCGTACACTCAAAATGAAACCGGTAATTGTCGTTCTGGGTTTACTATTTACCATCGTTGTTAATGCTCGCTATTCTGAATGGGAAGAGGTTCGACCTTATTGTGGTGCTCGAAGTCGACCACAGTGTTGTGTTAATCGAAATGACGAGTGTTTTATGCCCTATTACGATTCACGATGTTATTGTGACACGTTCTGTTTTCGTGGATATGATAATCATGATTGTTGTCCCGATCACGATGCCATCTGTGAAGGAATTGTACCAGTACCTATCACTCAACCACCACCGCCACCTGTTACTAGGGGCACATGTATTGATTACGAAACACAACAAGAATTTCAAATTGGTACATCGATAAAACGCGATTGTAATGTATGCCAATGTACAACACTCGGTTATCAAGCACAGTGGTCATGTGAGGAAGATTTGTGTGTGAATAGTCCTGACTTACTACAACACATTAAACAACAGCAGTCTTATACTGGATGGGATGGAACACATTATGATAGATTTAATGGAATAAAAGTGAAAGATGCATTGAAATACTATCTCGGCACATTACCGGACCCATCGTTGCGATTAATGGTCGAAAAAGCGCCAGATAATCCGGCAGATTATTATCAAATGGATGAAAAAGATGCGTTCGATGCGAGAACAAATGAGAAGTATCAAAATAAGATTCGTGGTATTCGTGATCAAGGTAAATGTGGTATATCATGGGCACTGTCAACAGTCGACGTGGCATCCGATCGTTTATCACTTGTTGGAAATATTCATTGGGCACGTGAACAACTGAGTGTACAAAATATTTTATCATGTACCGATGCGGAAGCAAAAAATGGATGTGAAGGTGGACGTGTAGCATTTGCATGGGGTTTCATTAAAGATAACGGTGTTGTCACTGACGATTGTTATCCCTATGAAAGTGGAAGAACAGGAAATATCGGCGATTGTAATTTCCGTTTGAACTATGAAGATCTTATGAGTATTCAACAGCATCGCAAATTAACAAACTTAAATTGTCCTTCAGGTAGCACAAACGCTCAACATTTTAATTTCGGTCCCGCCTACCGAATACGAAATGAACCGCGTTCAATTAAATACGAAATATATTTCCGTGGTCCCGTGCAAGCAACAATGCTTGTTACGCCTGATTTTTTCTTGTATAAAGATGGTATATACAAATGTCAAAATAATTATGATCGACAAAATCCACGGTATGCTAATTTGAATGCTTATCATTCTATACGTCTACTGGGCTGGGGAATATCCACAGATCCACGAACACAGCAACAGGAGTCCTATTGGATAGCTGCTAACTCATGGGGTGAAGGATGGGGAAAAAATGGATATTTCCACATTCGATTTGGTGATTGTCAGGTAGAAGAAACAGTTATTGCCACGTATGGTAAAAGTACAGAAGTATTGAGGAAAAAACACAAACGACAAAAGCGTAGCGATCAAGAAAGTAATAATATCTAACAGTTGTCACTGTAATTCGATTACATATTCACTTCTTTTGCTCATCAATGCTCCGTATAAACTCTAACAATACCTCATCAATCACGAATGGATGCGAGTCGGATCTGAACGAAATTTTTCTCTCTTTGTGTCACCCGGGCAAATATCTTGCCAGTAACACATCATCTAGATTCAGCCCAGTCCCCTCCTTCCAACTCTACGACTATCAAGCTTCTGAGCAGTCATTTTTATTTTGAATATCTATATATATATTTTTTTTTCTTTATTTGTGAATCTTTTTGGTCTTCTTCAATGAATCTTTCCGTGTATGTGTGTATGTTTTTCAGATTATGTATTAATATATTCCTTGATTAGTTTCTATAAAATAAGAGAAAAAGTTTGAACTTTGAAAGTGCACGAATGTGGAAACTAAACTTCGAAAAAGAGGTGTTGAGAACAGTGACAAGGATAGTATTTTGAATATATAGTTTATTTAGTAATCGAGAATAGATGAATATTATTTCAATTTTCGTATGATTGTCGGTATTTACAGGGTTTCATATTCATGTTGTGCTTCAAGTTCAAAACATCAAAAATTCACCAGAAAATATTCTTATTCATAGCATGCTGAATAAATATTGGCTGAACAAACCAGAATTGATCGATTTACACAGTCTTGCTAGTTTCAATGAAGACCTGTCTTTCTCCACTTATTGACAGGATTGAAATATATTTTGTATATATACCTTTTCTATGATACTGTTGTTTATATAATGAAACATGTTTGAAGATGAAGATTTCATTAAAACTCAGTATCATTTTGATGCAAGAAGAGTAACATGTTCTTTCAAATGTCATTAGCATCATAAAATATATCGATGGCACATATCAGTATTGTTATTAATAGAAAGTAATTTGTAAATATTCGTGTTTATAGCCATAATATAGGTTAGAGATCAATCTAATAATGTTAAAAAGATAGATATCAATTGAATATTGTTTGTTAGTGTTAATCATTCATTCTTTGAATAGTGCACAAATTTACTATGAACGTGCCAAGAGAAAATATCGGCGTTCTTTTATTGTTATTATGACCTTGTCTTGTTGATATTGTGTATTTTTTTGTTACATACCAAACTTTTGTCAACGCTTGGGAGATGAATGATACGTTATAAATATCAAGGAATTTAAGAACTTTTCTATCATTTCTTCTCGATTATAAACGTCCTAGGATGCTGTCTACTAAATTTATCGACATATCAGATACCACTGATAAATCGCTCTGGAACTAAGTTTTTTAACTTTTCTATTATTCATCCAAAGTGTATAGTGTATTAAGTCACACTTCTACATAATGTATCGTGGAAGATATGATAAGTTTAGAAAACAAATATCTGAGATCTTATCAATGATAATAAAGAAAGATTTCAGTGTCTGAAGAAAAAGTTGAAGTTTTTACAGGTAAGAAAATCCAATGAAAAATTGGATCTGTTTCACAAGGTTAGCCGATAATCCGACAAATATCAGATTACAAATACAATCTAAAGGCTTTCATTCGTCGGTTACACTCACACATAACATACACAAACGAATTGCCGACTCCCTTATATTGGTAAAAAATAAAAACTATTGATCTAAAGTAAACATTGAGAATAATGCGATAAACATACATCAAAAACTTTCTCTTTTTATATTTTTCTATTAAAGACAACAAAACCAGACCAAGGTTATTTTCTTTTTTCAATCGATATGTGAGTGATTTGCACAGCCATTGTGCGGTTCGAAAAAATTTTGAAAAAGTTACGGAGAAAAAAATTCTTGTCATATATTCAATAGAGTTATGTTGATTGTCTATAAAAACATTATTTTTCCTACACTTACTTACATAGCTGACGAAAAAAAGGTCGGAATTGCTGTTGACACGTCCAGTACGTGGCAACAATTATTGCTATTGACACTTACTGTTGTTTTTGATAGAAACTTCATAAATTAAATCTATTCAGCATAGTTCAGGCATGAGTAATGCATTGTTTGAACATGTGCTTCAACAAAATGCAAAATATACGTGTAATTGTAAGGAATATTGCTGAGCAACGCCTTTCATACGTCAAAATAACGGTTTAAAGTAAAAAAATTTTGAGCTAATTTTCGTTAAGAACCTCATCTTTTTAAGAAATGGTTTGTTGGGCTGCGCCATGCGCCAGATCATCATCCCAAACTAGAGTCATTTCCTTTTAAAGTTACATTTTGGACCGCGATTTGTCATAAACTAATAAGAACGCCTGCAACATTATTCTTAGTTTTTATAATTAACGTTTAAGTCAAATGTTATGGATCAAAAAGTTTGATCCGTACAAAGAGATTCATATAATCAAGCTAAGGGTTGGGTTGTTTTCAATTTCAATTCAAAGAATGATTTACATTATGCGAGAAACAATGACGTACTTACTGAAAAATAAGCCTAAGTGTAAACAGATTTCGATAGGTATATCGTGTTTCCACTGCCATTGAACTAAGAAACGATACAACGACGAGTAAGGTACTAGCATCCATCTATGCCTGATCTAAATAGTTAGTACATTGCCCGACAACTAAATATATGTGCTATAGTACTACTGATGTACTTTAGTTTTAAAACCGTGATCCTCAAATTCCTTCGATGAAAGCTTTAGGTTTTTAAATACAACACTGCAGAAAATGAAAAACGAGAAATTTTTCTTCTCAAATTCTTAACGGTATGACTCATCACTCACACTGTTCGACGGACGTGTTGTACACATCCTAGCTAATGGATCCTTCCATTCTCTCGAATGAATAGAGAGAGGAGGCACCAGAAAATGAACAAAAAAGAACAGAAAATAAAATAATTAAGGCTATTTTTAGCCGTAAAACACCTAAAAACCGGTCGCATTCTGGCAAATCCGATGTCTGGAACTCATAGAATCCGGTCAGATCTTTCAGGAATTTACCTCCAGAATGACTGACCTGGAACGGTCATTTTATGACGTAAAATAGCACTTAGTATTAAATTTCTCCTTCAAAAGTACATCATATACTCACTTTATCATAGATCCAAGGTATCTTTGTCAGAAATGAACATCTATTTATTTTTATTTCCATTTTTTCTATATTCTTTAGCAAATGTTTTCTTTTCTTTAATAATGAAAAGTTTATATTCATTTAAAGCAAACTAAATTGACAATAGTTTTATTTACTACAATAAAAAAACATTAAAAAAGAAAATACTCAGCATGGATTAAACTAATGAATATCAGCTGCAATGTTGGACACATTCTTCCCTGCAGATAAAACAAAGAATCATGATCTCATTTCGAAAGAAACGTTTGAAAGACAATCCAGTGTATTAATCCATCTCTGAAACAAAGAATAGTTATTTATGACAAACGAGAGGACATTTTTAGGTATCGAATCGCTTTTTCATGGGTAGTTTACGACGCTAAGTCTGAATCTGATATCCGTTCTAGTAGTTAGGCTTGTCCAGATACTGTCTTTGAAAACTGGATCGTCAGAAGTTCAATATCAAAGTTTGAATCAATATATTCTAATTCGGCCAGTTTATAGAGCACATTCAGTTACCTATGTCCATAGATCTTCATGGCTAACGAGCACGTTTTCCTAGAGTTAGAAGTTTTTTACTTCAAAATCAGCTGAACAAATGTAAACAAACAAATCTTCTATAATAAACATTTGACAGCTCCGTGAAAACGTGTTCGTTAGCCGTGAACACCTGCGGACATAGGTAACTGAATGTGCTCTATAAACTGGCCGAATTAGAATATATTGATTCAAACTTTGATATTGAGCTTCTGACGATCCAGTTTTCAAAGGCAGGATCTGGACAAGCCTAACTACTAGAGCGGATATCAGATTCGTACTCAGTGTCGTAAACTACCCATGAAAAACGGATTTTTACCAAAAAAGCTATTTGATACCTAAAAATGTTCCTTTGCGAATAACAGATTCTATGAGACAAATACTTTTTTGTCTTCAGAAGTAGTAAAACCATACCTTTGATGGTAAGGATGGGGCGGTGCGGTTGGGTTGATGTACACGGTAAAAAAAAGCGTCCAAAACAGTGTTCTCCTTGATTTGGTTTATAGATCATGATTGAAGCCGTGTACAGATATGGTGGCCCAACCAGTCTTTCAAGGGGTACTTCGAGTGCTCGGAAATATGCTTTCGATGAGCCCTCGGAAAATGGCACTTCGGACCCTCGATATAAGCTTTCGAGAGATATTTCTGAGCCCTCGTCGCACTCTGGAGAGAGCAAGGGCTCGGAGATTCCGAACATCGCATCTTTGGGCGACGAGGGCTCGGTAGTCCCGAACATCTCTATTCGACGGCTCGAAATTTTTCTCGAGAGCTCGCTATCCATCTGAAATCCGAGGGCTCTAAATCGATACTCCACGAAAGCTACCGAAGTGCTAATTTTCGCGCGGTCGAGCCCTCGGCGAAGGTCAGTTTTCGAGCACTCGCCGCACCCCTCGAACGACTTTTTTCATCTGCATGGGGGATGACCGATTTCTTTTTATTTGATTATGATTTGTTTTATTTTTGCCATGTTTTTTTATTATTGAATATCGTGAACTTGCATGGTCGTTTAAGACGCCCTCTTGGATGATTATCTATGAATCTGTAGACTTTTTAGAGTCTTTATCTACTTGCGTTGAAGTTGTTTTAACGTCATTCCTCAAAGAATGTAAAACAGACATACTTTTTTGTTATTCAAGCAAATATTCTCTATAAAAACTCTCCCATACTATAATCATTCTGAAAAATAATTCGGTAGTCTATGCAAATGACACCTTTCCGCATATACGTAATCAGACGATAAGTTTTGCTTTTTGCTTGGAAAACTTGATAAAAATCTACTAAAAATGCTAGCTGATACCTGCTTTCGTTTATGTATCCATTTTCCATAAATTTGTTTGATTTCATCAAGGTACTCATAAAACCCGTTTGTGCCCAAATTTGTGAGATAATTTTGAACTTCATTATATGTATCCCATGCTATTTTGCGCTTTCCAGTTACTAATAATATAATGTATGCTCTTCATTAATAGATGATGATGATGACGATATATCATCATCGGCAAGAATGACGGTGCAATAATGGTATTAACTGATATGTTTCTTATCCATCGACAAGGAACTGTAGTTTCATTGAAAGTAATCAAATTATTTGAAATAAAAAAATGACTACAGGGTAAACCTGTAGTCGAATTAAAATAATACAAACAAATCAAATAGGGTACTTGTAATTCATATATTTTATGTTTTTCTTTGTTTTCAATCACAACTAAATGTTCACCTTCATTTTCGATGTTGAATAATATTGCTGAATTTTGTTTATCTATTATTGTCAATTGTGTATTTATAAGGTTAAATTTGTAATCTGTCATTTTTCGTTCACAGTTATTCATAAAATCAATATATTTTGAATCTTGTCGATCATCTACACTGAATTGTTAAACGAAATTACGATAATCTTGTATACTATGTTCCATGTTTAATATCGATATCATTATTTTTATCACCTTCGAAATATGTGGTATCGAATTTCGTTCACGAAATGACATTTTGACATAGCGGTAAAAGGATTAGATGCTGTTGTTAGTATTGTTCAGCAGCGTTCGTAAATGTTTTCTTGAAGAAAACACCCACATCTCTTTGCATGATAACCAATTTTTCATGAAATAATCCATAAAATCTGTATTTTTTTACATTTGATTCTTAAATCAACAATATCATTATTAAATTCATCGTCATTATTTGAATATATTACACGTTTAACAGACGAAATTGTATTCGATTTTTGTTGTGTTGTAATTGCTAATGCTGAAATTAAGCATTTAAATAATTTAATAATGTGAAAATAATATAATAATTATTCTGATGAAAAAAAAACGATTAATAAAAATCGAATATTTTGAAAACATTGGGTGCTTTATCGTTAATTCATATCTGAAACAGGAAGTGGTGGCTTCAACCTTTCTCCACTCGAAAAAGGCTCATTTTTTTCTATCAGAAACATATTAGAATGTTGTCAGATTATTTTCTATGCCTTAGTTGCTCAAAATTTGAATTAATTCTTATTTAGAAGACTTTATTCTTCTGTCGATACAAAAAGTTCATTTTTAAATTCTACAAACATGTTAGATATATGTAATAATGTGTTGCTGTTTCGAAATCCATTCTAAAACGAATCATATTTACTCTCTGAAGTAGGCATAGAATCGAGATGGAGCTCAAAATTCTTTTTTGAATTCCATATTTTTATTATTGCTATTGAAGAAAGTTCTGTATGAAAATGTGGAAAATCATGCCATGTAAACACCTCAGAAGAATTGAAGAAAGGATGTACCATTAATAGAAGCTAAATCTGACACAAATCACGAAGTCAAATGTATTGAATATACTATCATCAAAATTCTTTTTCCGTAAAAAGAGTTAGAATATTGGGGAAGAGTTGGAATTACTAATGCTGCTCCCGATTTTCTGCAACTCTTTTAAGTCAATCTTGAGTCATTAAATGCATCGAATTTGCCGAATTCAATAAACGTCTTGATTTATTAGAATTATTCTCAAAACAATCATATTCAGAAAAAATAGAAAAGAATTTAATGGCAGATATTGAAGAATGAACGAACATACAGATAACCGCTGTTGTTATTGTTGTTCTTCTCATGTATTGATTAATTCTAAAACGATTGCTAAACGTTACTTTTAGCCGACTTGAGCCCAAGATGGACGTTTGGCAAGAAGAATTGAACTTCGTTTTCCGACTGTGGCCCATGATGGTCGTTTATAACGTTTACGTGCGTTAAATAATCCTGCATTATTTTTTGTTGAACGTACTAGAGGATAATAGGAAAGATCTTGATGTTGTTCTAATATTGGTTGATCAAATAAATACTCTTCGCTAAATAATGATGCTAAATGAGTTCGTTGTTCATTTGAATCGGTATTTTCAACCGTCATATTATCATCTTCACTATTGTCGGTACCGGCCGCTGTATTAGTGGATGGAAGAGTTTGTTGTTGACCATCTTGTTCGTGTAATAACAATGCACATGGACATGATGAAGCCAAAGTATTTAATACACAAAACGAAATAAATATTGAACATATGATCATTAGAAGTGAAGGGGTAGATGATGATGAAGAATAGGTCATTGTTCTAGATGAAAGAAGTTTGAAAAAATTAATGAAGACTCAGACAAATATATGGACATAGAGTTAATATTAAAAAAGAAAAACTATATATTTTTTGTTGAATCTGTTTTATATAGTGTGTACCGTTACTGATTTTCTTTCTTTCTCTCTCTCTTTTCTACAATCTTTAATAAAATTTAACCATTAAATCTCCTACATTTTAATATTTTTTTGGACCATCATACAATTTTTTCATTATTACAAGTAGATTGAAACAATTATAAAAAGTGACTAGTATATAGAATATTGTATGTACTGACTATAACTTCGACAATGTTCTATGCGTGTATCAAGAAAACTGACACATGACACAAGATTGTAGTATTAATAATTAGATGAAAAATAAAAATTATTTATATATTCCTAACTTTGAGAAATAACATGTGTTCATACGGTTTTTGTCAACGACTTCCTGTTCATGTAATTTAATTAAATTTCAGTATAAAATATAGATTTTTTATCATCACTCTGCAAAAGTCTAGCAAATTAAAAGATCTTATCCACCAACAATCTATTGAAAGTATTATCCTTGAATAAATGAGGAAACGATGTAGCTCGGTACCCTTTAATTTAACGAGACTAGTTTTCTCGTAGTGCGACGTGGATTGAGAAAATGTTAGTGCACAAATGTACAATGTGTAACAAAATTGATCGCACACTCTCATATAAACTTATGATTAATATTTCTCCGAAACAAAACCATCTGCAAAGTTTGGAGTGTCGCTAAAATGTTGCAAATTCATTGTCGTTTATTTGCTTAAAATAGAAAACGCTGTCATTAAATAAAATAATTGAAAATCATGCCACATCAGGCGTTACAGCTATTCTATTATAACAAAGTTGGAGACGTCTCTTACGGCATACTTTATTCAACGTTTCGTTTAACCTAGACTCAAAATATATAATCCCTAGCGCTTTTCGAAAAATTTTTGTCACATCTTAGTAATTATTCATCTTAGTCAAGTCAACACATGTTAACTGCGACTTTCACTTCATTAGGATATTTAATATAAGAAAAAGAAACGAATTAGAGTGACAGTGAGAAAAGTGTTAGTGTCATAGAGTGCTCGAGTTCTTGATTTTGTCACGATCGTAATACGAATAGCGAGAATAATTTAATGAGTGAAAATCGTGAATAATTAGCGATCCCTATAAAATTTTCTAAAGTCATGACCTCTTGTGGTATGACCGCAATAAAACTGAGTCTTATAGCAAACACATTACGTGACACAGCAACGAATTTTTTGAGCGGCTCACATTCCAACGATAATACGAAAGTTGTCTTACGAGCTTGAGATGATATTTGCATTTAACTAAAACTTGTAGAATAACCAGAATTATTACCGGTGGATTAAAGCAATAAATCTATTCTTCTGTGTGCAAACCCTTATTGAACTGCAATCTCGTATAATAACTTCTTTAAGAAAGTATTCTGTAGTTTGTCGGGTTAATCATAAAGAATCTCCCCGTCTCTTGGCTTGTGATTTGCTCTTTTCTTGCCACAATCATTTTGTGTATGTTATTTTTAGATAACTCTACGCTTGAGAAAAATGTATGGTCCTAACTATCAAACTAATAAAACCACGTTAATACCACGTTACAAGCATATAGTTACGTCAAATGTCCTCATTGTCATTTACAGTTATGTTTGTCTCATTTAAACAAACATCAGACTATTTTTAAAACAGAACTTTTTCAGTTGATGGATAGATCGAATATTTTGAAATTAAACTTGGAATCGATTAAATATAACGAAAACAATTGTCATATTCTTTAGGCAAAAGTCGATCAATGAAATCGAAATATAATGCAAAGACTCACTATATACTGTGTAGAAAAAAAAATGAAAATCAATCGTTCAGGTCAAGAAGAGAGCAATGAATTTGATGAGGTTAAAGTAACACAAGTGCAAGTATTGAACGAGAGTATGATAGTCAAATTAAATGAAGTAGAAAAATGTCAACAGGTAATACCATGTTAAACTTGGTTTCAATAGATATATTGATACTGGAGTCAAAACAACCATATTTCTATTATTCCGAGAAGAGGAATTAGAGTTCTAACTCTAAAGTTTGCCAAGAAGATAAATGTTTATCCAATACAATATTGAGAAGTTAGACCCAACATGACGTTATAAATCACATACTAGTTTGATTAGATACTTTTCTGATGACAACCATATCTATGCGACAACACATTGGCAACTAGTGATACGAATGAATTAAAATACTCAGCATCCGATTTGCCATATGATGATTATGATTTACATTACTGATCAATCACGATGATAATATAAAAGATCACTCGGGTGACGTCTCACATTGGTAGTCATAAAAATGCTACAGAAGTTCTTGAACTAACTGATTATTTACTGTCATTTTATAAAATCTACAGTTTGTTGGATTCAAAAGACTAAATGAATTCATTTTTAGGACAAAGTAGAGGCTCTGATTGGAAAATTTTCTTTATGATACCAGTCGGGCAGAAGCTTCATTTCTTCTTTGATGTTCGATAAAGGGAAGATACATTTACATAACTGTCTCGCACATAAACTTTTTTCTAACACAACATTTCATCTGCTGATACTCTCATGTAGTATTAGGTTAAAAAAGGTTCACATCTTCAGTGGTAATTTGATTATAAAACAGTACTATTATGAAACAACCAAAAGTGTCTAATTTTTCTAAACAACAAGAGCTTCTTAGTCCCTTAGCCGATAGGATAAATAAAGTTTTAGCAGTTATCGAACCAGCAATGTGGGATAGAGAAATATGTTCTACATAATACAATATACCCTTACCTATTAACACTGTCTATATTATAAGATATATTTTAATGTGAAAAATTAGCTTTTTAAATATTTTCTGGTGCTGAGAATGTTTTATCTCATAAATTAGCCTATACTATTCCAATCTTTGATACCATTTTACCCTAAAAATATAGTAGGATATAATTAGAAAAAGCATACAACACAACATATATGGAGAATTTTTTTATTTGGCCGAAGCTTTGGAGACAATCATTAGAACTTCTACTAAAGAAAGCGTCCTCTATAACAATTTTTACTAATCTTAAGTACAGAAACAGATTGAGCAGATCAAATAGAGTATATCTTCATATTCGTGTTCAGTTATTAGTTTTTTAATTTCCTGTGGAAATTGTTAAAAAAAGATTGTTTCGTCTTATTCTTACATCAGTTATCAAAAAGCAGTGTCCTTGGTTATTTTTAAATAACTTGGAAACGCAATGTGCTAGATTTCCACCATTCGATAGCCAAGACTTTATATCATCTTTTCGTAAGCTTGTTTCAGAAATTTTTCAAAAAACGGTTTTCTAAAAGAACTTTGGAAAATCAATTTGCATCTCAGAAAATGAATACAGCAATTTGTTGATTTTTGTTCATAGATAGCGCGTTCTACAAAATGGGATCTAAGCGAGGACTCCGAAATTCGTTCTTCACGCGGAATAACGATACTGCTGGGATC